GATCTACCTGCCAAGAGCAGGAGGGAGAAGCTACTTGGCTTGCTTGTGCCAAGACAAGTTTCATGTAACTACTAAACGATTTCGGTTTCTGAAGTTTGCAAAGTCTTACTATTCAACTGGACAATTCACATAGAACACCAAACACCTTTGATAACTTCAGAATCATTTTGAAATTTGGTCTTTACAAACTCTTCTCAGTCTTTAGTCTACAAACTGGAAAATAATACAACTAGAGGTGAACTGAGTGGCTTGCTAAGGTTCCACAAGTGGATCAATGAACAACAACAAAAAAAAATGTCCACCACATAGACTGTTCACTGCTGGAATATACAGGAAACAGGAGCAGCCGGGGAGGTCACAAAGAACCCGGTCCCTGTTTAAAGGAATTCAACATCTCTCTGGAAGTTAAAATCCATAAAATGATAACAATATATAAACGGGAGATAAAAACCAAATGAGGCAGCGAATACTAGTGAAACTTAAATGCTCCATTGAATCACCCGGGGCGACTTTAACTCCTTCCCAAATCATATTGCTCCATGGCATAATTTTTTATTGATCTTGAAAAATAACATGGAATTTAATTTACCATCTTAACCATTTTTAAGTGCACGGTTCAGTGGTGCTGAATACATCCACTCTGTTGTGACACTGGTCTCCAGAACCTGAAACCTGCACCCCTAACTCAGTAACTGCTCATTTCACCCCCAAGCAGCCATCCTTAATAAACTTTCTGTCTCTAGAAATTTGACTATTTAGGTACTTCTCATAGGTAGAATCATACTGTACTTTTTGTGACTGACTTACGTCTCCTAAGGTAAGATTCATCCATGTTGTAGCACAGGTCAGGAATTCCTTCCCTGGAGGCTCTGATGCTCCGTTTGGCATGCAAACATCCACAATTTGCTTCTCTAAGAGCTTCACCTGGGTTGCTCCTGCCTCCTGGCTGATGTAAAAGAGCACTGGAAACAGAAGTGTGCAAATCTCCCTTCGAGATGCTGCTTTCAATTCTTTTGAACATATCCTCAAAGTAGGATGACCAGATCACATGGTAACATTTAATTTTTTGAAGAAGTGCCGTACTATTTCCACAGAAGCTGTACATTCGCACCAACAGAGCTGCAAGGTCCCGGTTTCTCCAGATCCTCGCCAGCACTTGTGATGTTCTGTTCTGCTGTTTTTTCTTCCTTAATAGCCACCATCCCAATACACCTAAATTCTGACATGCATTCTGGACTGAATTCTTGACTCACTGTGATTCCGACTTGCATTTCTCAAGTGAGTAGTGTTGATCCCTGACATAATTTTTTGAAGACTGAGAGAACGCTGATAGAGGAATAAAGATATTGTTTCAACATGGCCAATACAACAAAAGAATGGGTATTTGCCAGGATCAGAGCCAGTGATAGAAATGCAACAGGACTGGCTGGAGGGACTGCAGAGTGACCTGTGAGCTAGCACTCCTGAGTCACTAAAAAAATGATGGGGAAGAGAGGTGGAGTGAAAAAATAACTTCAAAACAACCTCTTCTACAGTTCCCTGATTCACGCAGCTGAAATTCTTCATATCCTAGGGCCCCAGACTTCAGTTCTCAGTGCAACTAGTATATGTGCAATTTAAGGGCTTTGGTCTCCTCCATTCACTGGGAAAATGTCCATCTGCACTGGCTCCACAGGGACAGAGCAGAAAGCTGGGCAAGTGAGTTACACCAGGAAAGTCCCAGCCAAGAATGGCCCAAGCACTTTTCAAAGGATGTTTCATTTAAAAAGAAAAAAAAGAAAGAAAGTTTATATATATATATATATATATATATATATATATATATATATATATATATATGTAATGTGGGTTGAGTTGTGTCTCCCTCCCCCCAAAGAGGATGAGGTCCCAACCTCCAAAGACAGTGAATGTGACCTATTTGGAAAAGAGGTCTTTGCAGATGATCAAGTTAGGATTACGTCATGACGATGACCCTAATATGACCATGTTCTTATCTATGAGGATAAACTCACACAGCAAGAAAACCTCAGGAAGGCAAAGACAGATGGGGTGGTTCATCTCCAAACCCAGACATCAAAGATCACCAACAAACCAGCAGAAGATGGTGGGGACAGCACAGAGCACACTCTTCCCACAACCTCAGAAGGAACCAGCGCTGCCAACACCTCCTTCGCAGGCTGCTGATCTGCAGAACCACAGGACAGGACTTGTCTTCTCGCCGCCACCTGGAGTGTGGTACGGGGTTACAACAGCCCCAGAGAGCACAGCTGTCCTGCTACCAATGCCAAAGCTAAATGAGTGACCAGCCCAGGGAACAGGGACCACAGCTCAAACACCACCTCAGTGCCACTGTGGAAAGCATTACCAGGGGGTTCACGTGGGTACAGGACACAGAGAAGAAACCCTTGTTCTCATCTAGGACCTTGTGTGCCACCAAACAATGTCCCCAAGAAAACCAAGTCCCCAGGCCCCTGGCCCAGCATTTTTAGAGCCGGACAAGAGGGCCAAAACAAGTCTGGAAGCTAAGCCATGGGACTTGTCCCCACAGAGAGCGGGCAGGATGCCAAAGGGCAGCTGGCAGCGTCTCCGCTCTGCTGAATGAGTTTTCTGGAGAAAGTTAGAACTTTATTCTCTTCAGCTGTCATGTGCCCTCAGGAGCTCCCAAGGAGAAGCCTGCTGGGGGCACTAATGGAGGAAGTGCCCTGGAGAGAAACTGCCCTAACGTGGAAGGAAGGGGAGAGTAAGAAAAAAGCTACGATCTCCATGAGGGGTTCCAACGCTCCGGTCAGGGCAGCACTCTCCTAGATCAAGGGGCTCACGGGGAGAGCAAGGCACAGTCCTGGGTCAGCAGACGGGAACTACCACCCTCCCTGCAAGGCCTCCCTGGATGTGAGGGCTACCAGGAGTGGGACTGCGGATTAGCTGAAGCCAACCAAGGCATGAGACGGTTCACGGCCGCACTGGCGCTGTGTTACAAAGCTCCCATCTCACGTACCTGTAAATACTGCAGAAATTCACTGTCTTTCGCTTCATCATTGGAATTCTACTGATAAGATGGCCCAGAAATTGAATCACCACAATAAAAGGAATTTTGTGGTGCCTGCCATATGACACAATGGCTCTGGGTGGGAGGTGGCGCAGGGTCAATGGTGCGGGGGGAGACTTCAGGGAAGGCAGAAGGAGAGACCAAGGGCGGGAGGCCAGAGAGGCAGAAGCTGCAGGGAGCCCAGCCTTGGGGCCTGCGTGTCTTCTAGAAAGCAGAGTCTCAGTCATCTCCGAGAGAGGGGGGTTCTGCCTACACAGCTGCCCCCTGCGGGATGACCTCAGCTCCCTTGCTCTTTGGCATCTGGCTGAGATCAGCGGATGGTAGTGGGCAGGGATGTGGTCAGGAAGGCAGCATCTGAGCCATGGACGGCCAGCCCCCCGACTGTGAGACAACACTGTTGGAGCCACCCAGGACTTTGTATGTAGGAAAGTGATTCAGCTTTGAACAAAGAAGAAACGTCTTGGGATTCCCTAACGACTCGGAAAATACTCTCTGGTCTCGCTTGTCACTGCCCCAGACGTTCAGTTGTATGTTCGGACCAGAAGTCACCGAGCCCCCCCTGCTGTGTCTGCAGACCGAGTGCACACGGATGGGTCACTGGGAGACGGCACCACGGCCACGTGCACGTTAGAGTTCCCAGTACCAATAAATGACATCAACACAAAGGGCGAGCGAGGAACACAGTTGCCCCATCCCTTTCCCGTGCTGTGAACAGAGCCCTCTGAAGCTGCCAGACTGACATGCCTGCGCCGCTGCGTCTTCACCGAGGTGTGGCAAGCGGAACAGAGTGGCCTCTGGGGTGATGAGAAGACCAGGACGCCACGAGGAAACACAAAGCAAAGCAAATCGGAACGAGCAGCCGAGCGCTGTGTGTCCCTTCTGGAAGGCACCATTTAGATAACCACTGCAGATTCTCCTTTCTGATTAAAAGCAAAGCAATTCTCTTTCATCAGCAATGTCAGCAATGCTCGGAGATGGTACCGATTTCTCATAAGACACCCGCCAGGGAAAGGCCCGTGCCAGTTGTTTCCTGGTCCTCAGTGACGGCAACAAGTCATGCAGGCTATGAACCTAAGGACTGTCTGTGGTCACCCACTCCGGATGTTCCATCCATCAGTACTATCAATCCCCCTCCTGGATTCTCTTGACCTGTCAGCTCCCCAACATTCTGCCTATGACGCTTAGGCCCCAGCCCTTATGGGTCACCACCATACACATCTGACATTACTATGGCCTCTAGTCACTGGGCTTTCCTCTGTGGGCTCAGCCTCACCCAACTGGTCCTCCCCACCTAAGAGCACCTTCCACTGGCACCTATCACTGGTACCAGCATAACTGACGGGTTGTGTGGTCCTAATGGCTCCTTATGGTCTACAACAGTTAACAGAGCACATAAAGCAGACGCCTAACGTAGAGTGGCCCTGAGCCCCAGACAGCTGACCCATCCCCAGTCACTTACACTAAGCCTAACTGGTACTATCCACGCCTACCTCCCAGCAACATAGGGATGGTCCTTTCATGTCATACCGGAAAGCATTTGCCATAGAAAGGCTGGTGACTGTTGAGTGCCTGCTCCTCAATAATAATATGCATAGACTTGGCAAAATCTGACCCTTGGCAAGGGATTTCTGGAAAGGGCAGTGACTTTTTTTCAGTTCCTTATCACAGCAGCACCTTGCCTAGCCTGTTGATAAATATTTGTGGAACCCTTATTGTGCTTCCAAGATCACCTTCCAAAAAATAAAGCAAGAGCCGCAGAACCCCATGGTGGGTATCTGGTCCAACTCCCTGATCATATAAATGAGGAAACAAAACCCCCAGACTCTTAAAGTACTATTAGAATTGCTCTTTCATGTGATCAGTCTACCTACAAAAGAAAAATCCCAAATCGAATAAATCATTCCATATCTTCCTTATGAGATAAAACCATTAAGTCCAATTCAAATGTTCCAAGTAATGGAAGACAAATAATGATAAAAACACAGCAGATAATTTTTAAAAATCAGTACAATTTGTATGTGCAATATTTTCATATTTACCTTAAAATACAGAAGTGAAATGTCTCCTTCAAAAGGACCCACCCAGCCCATACTGCCAGGACTTCCAGAGAGGGGTCCGGCCGTCCTAGGCCTACCCTGAAACCGTCTGTCCAGTCTATCCAAGTGGGATGCAGGCCTCCCTTAGAATCCCGACTCTAGGAAAATGGAGACGTCTTAGGGTTTGGGAGACAGAGGAGACCAAGAAATCATCAAGGTGACAATGCATGCAGTTTCTGAGCTAAAGACTCCCCCTCCTCAATTTTAAAGCCAATCAAACTAAAGCACAGAGAAGCTGCATAGAAGTCCACAAAAATGGCAGGAAAGGTACTCGGAAGAAATGGAGGTTTCATCCCAACGGTCCAAAGGGCCCTTCGTTCTCAGAACACCCAGCGAATGTCTTCCCAAAGCCACCTGGGACACAGGTCTAGCTTGGCTAATGTTTCACCTTCCAGCAAAAGGCTGACGAGGAGAGGAAGAAACAATACTCCACCCGACACAGGTGCCCTATTGTTTATTTTAAAGTACTTTCATGGGCTTTCATTTTTCTGTCTGACCTGCCCAATAGCTCAACAATGAAAGCAGGGTCTCCGCTCTGCTAAAGAGCAAAAATGGAAATAAAGCTTATCGTGAAAGGCAGGAGAAAGACCGACTCCTGTGAGAGTAGGCATGTGCAGTCTGAACGGTGATTTTCCACAGGACATTTCCTGAGGTGAGCAAGAGACAGCAGGCAGACAAGGAAGCTCCTGTTCTTGGTAATTAAACAAGATGATCTCCATTTAAACAGGGGGATAATCAGCTTCTCCAACTCCCCACATCTTCTCAGGATATGGCCCATTTTAATGTCAGATATGAACATTCCTCAGTGCAGTTTATTCCTTGTATTTATTGGGCCTTTCTGAATGATTCTTTTTTTCAGGAAGAAAATAGCAAACAGCTGTTAAAGAAGTACTCCAATCATCTCGGAGCTGGAGAATTCGCTTTGATCACAGGAGTTCGAACTGAAGTTGAAAGGTCACACACAAACATTCTGGGTCAGCGTTTAAATTTGACTCTTTGCTTCTAAGGAGCTAGAAAGGAAGGCTGGCTGTATTTAGCTGGAATGGTTTCTAGGGGAAAAAAATATTTTATTCTATTAAAATAGTCTTTCAATTTAACCTCGGGAGGCTAGACCCAGACAAGCACCATTTATCATTCAAAGTTAAATAAAACCCAGAGAGGCCCGTGCAAAGCACAATGGACATCAATACTATTTCAGAAACTTGGCCAACAGGAGCCAAGAACAACACTGATCAGGGGAGAGAAATGTGAACTTAGTTTTGAAAAACCCAGTGAACACATGAAATCCCCTCCTCTCGCTCTGGCTGAGGACGCAGCTGCCAGCGGCACTTGCTCTGGGCACAAAGGCCTCCCTTCTGGTTTTAAATGGCCAATTACATTTTATTTAGATCCATCCTCCTCCGCCACTACCAGCAGCAGCTCTTACGTGCAAAGCTTCTGATGCAGCAGCACACACAGCAGCCTGGAGCGTGCACACCTGCTGTTCCCACCAAAGTCAGGTCCGCAGGAGGGACGGTGGTTCCAGAAGAGCCACAGCAGAAGACTCACAAAGGAAGGTCCCCACCCCAGGGCCTTTAGCTAAATGTGCATCTCACCCCCTTGGAGGAAAAGAGAGGAAGAGACATGCAGCAGCTTCCCCCAGCCTAAGATGGCTGAAAGAGAAACGGAAGGGAGATCAGATGCCTGAAAAAAATGTTAGAATCCAAGAAGAAACCAAGCACTTTTACATGCGGTTGCTGCAGGTGAGCTCAAGCCTGGGATTTCCCAAGGGCCACAAGGAGAAGAGGAGGGGCTTTAGAAAGACCAACCTCTGTCAGCGCGGTGGCACACACTGCAATCCCAGTGGCTCGGGAGGCTGAGGCAGGAAGGTTGTGAGTTCAAAGCCAGCTTCAGTGACTCAGCAAGGCACTAGGCAACTCAGCAAGACCTTGTCCCTAAATAAAAAGGGCTGGGGATGTGGCTCAGTGGTTAAGAGCCCTGGTTTCAATCCCTAGTATTAAAAAAAAGAAAAATCTCTGCCCCATCCCTTCATGGGAGCTGGAGCTCGGGAAGGCAGCTTTAAGGTGACACACCATCACTGAAGCCCACCCCAGATGAGCCCTGGGAAGAAGGGACCCCCATGGAGGCCCCACCCAGGTGTCATGAGAATTAAAGAAAATGTTTCATAAAAAGGTAATAAAGCACACCCACTGTTTAATCACTCAAGGCCCGACTTTATAGTGCTCCTAATTAGGTCTCAACACCTACATGGCCTCTTCAGTGACGTACAGACCAATCATTGCTCTCAAAAATCCAAGAGATCTTCTGGGCATTCAATGAACTGGTTGACACTTTCATATATACATATTTTATATATTTATATGTACGTTATATATGTATATGTTATATTATATATAAATATCATACATTATATATTATATATATTATATATTTTATATGTAAGTGTTCCTGAGAGGTTCAACTTGATCTCTTTTTGTCATGCATCTCTGCTGTCAAGGGCTCAGAGCAGTTGCCCCAGACTCCTGAGCCACATCACATCCGTGAGCGGCACTCCACAGTGGGTAGGACGGGGAGCCTGGGGTCCCACAAGGGGAGGCAGCTCAGACATCGTTCAGCCACTCCTGAGGAGGTGGCTGGAGAGACTTCCTGTGGGTCCGTTCATCTGTATCCAGGGACAGCACCCACTGTCTCTCAAACTGTGATAACCAAACAACCAATCTGAAGTGTGGACAGTCAGTGACACCTACTGAGTGTCCCCGGGAGCCAGGCATCCCTCAGGAGCAGGGAGAAATGATGAACAAGAGGCCTTACCCCCAGGAGCTCTCCAGCCCCCTGTCGGAGGTCACCACTGAGCAGACAAACCCATCAGGATTTTCCGTCATGAGGGGCTGAAGCAGAAGCAAACACACAGCTGTGGTGGAGGTCACCCTGGAGCAGCCGACGCCCCCGGGCAGTGCTCAGCAGACCCTCTGTGAAGGTTTGCTGCCCTCTCCCAGACTTCCTGAACAAGGAGAGCCATGCGCCATCCTCAGACAAACGAGAAGAGCCATGCCACCCTGAAAAGCTGCACAGGAGCCTGAGGAAAGGGACACCGAGATGCAAGTACTAGAAGAGGTTGCAAGGGTCACTTCCTGGGATGATCCTCATGGAGCAGAGCTCTTCCTGCCACTGTTCGGGGGGCAGGTGGGGTCTGCACTGTCCCCCTCCAGCCCTGCCAGCTCTGCAGCAGCCACATGCATCTTCCCGTCACCTGAGAGCCTCTTCTCCGCGTGCCATCATGACCAGGCCTGCTCAAGGGCCCAACATGGCTCCACTCCACTCCTGTGCGCTTCGCTCCTCCCACATGGCACTGCTAATGAGAAGAGTAAACACCGGGAAGAAGCCATCCGCCTCACCCCACAAATGTCAGAGAAACGAGGTTTGTTTACCAGAGGGTCGTGAAGACCGGGCACATTAAACCTTCTCAGGGACTTCAGTGGAGGTGGCCTGGCAGGGGGACGTGCTATTAACCTTCCAGAGCCCAGGAGTCACCATGTCTTACCACCTCCACCCAGAGATGATAAAACACCATGCAAGAGCTTACCATAAATACTGTTTTTGAGTTTTCCTCTCGGCAGAGGAAGTACCCGAAAAGACGGTCCAAGTTCAGCAGGAAAGGTGGCCGTGGAACTGACTACAGAACGGAGGACACTGCCACGCTCTCTGCCCTGGCTTTCCAAAAGGTCGACTCTTCACAGTAATTTTTTTAAGTTTATAAATAATGATGGAAACAACCAGGGGGGGTATGATTTGGTTCTTGGTGCCAAGAAATATTTAGGGAATTTGCACTTAAAACGACTGCTTTGACTTTAAAAGATGGATGCAGGCAGAGTAGGAAGACAAGGCCCAGTGCGCTCGATCCCCGGGGGAAGAAGACGGGGTTCACAGAAGAACAACCCCAGAGGGAAACTCCAGAGACTTCTGGCCCTGTGCCCTGCTCATCTGTGTCGCAAACGCAAGCAAGCGAGGAGAATTCACTCCTGGGGGGCCCAGATGGCGCTGGCGAAGAGGACACTTCCAGGGCCAGACACTTGGCTTTGAGAGGTCTCAGCAAAAAAGTTTTGGAGCAAGATTTTAAAACAAGTCGGTTTAGGAGCTGGGTCTCTGCAATCCTGCAGTCACTGTCCTCCAATCCAAGTGCCGTGACTGAGTCACCACGGCAGCCCTGATGGCTTCCAGCTGTGGATGGCCTGGCTCGAGCTGTTCTCCAAGAGCACAAGGCAGCAATTTAGAATCCGCTCCATCCATAGAAATGCTGATACTGGCTGTAGCCAGTTAGGGAAAACATCTGTTGCTCATGGACTAAGAAGAAACATTCTGACCAAACTAGAAAAATAAAATATGAATGGATGAGGCCTGTCAAAACGAGCAATGCCACTGAGTTCTACTGTAAAATAAATGCCCTCTAACATTCAGTCAGCAAGCATTGAATGAGGGCCCACTATAAGTCAGGCACCAGGCTAGATGCTAGGGGTATAATAAGAAGGCAGGTCCCTAGCTTGAAACGCGGATTCTGTAGTGGCTAAGCACATCAATGCCCCACCAACCGTACATACTGTCTTTCCAGGATGCGCCAAGAATTGTTCTAGATACTTTATTTGTACTGACTTTTTAAATTCTCCTGTAACAGGAGGAAAGGGTTATCATCCTCCTCCTCTTATGGAGCAGAAAGCAGAGGCCAGGCAGTCTAGCTCCACCCTGATAAGTGTGCAAGAAAAACAAACAAACAGTCGCCTCAGGGAGGAGCATCTGGGTGAAACTAACAGGATCTTTAAGGATGCACAGGAGTTTATTGGGAGGCTAGGAAAGATTCCTTCCAGAGAGGTTAAAAGTGCAAAATAGAGCATCAAAAATTATTAACAGAGGAAAACAATTCTATTTCTACTTCTTGAGCAGGGACTCCCTAGCTAAACAGTAACTAGGAATAAAGCCTGGACATTCTTCGGTGTGGGGACACTGAAGAACCACAGTGAAGTTCAGCACAGTGACCCCGCGGCCAACACACGACGGCAGCACTTGCCAGCTCCTCAGACCAAATCCCGTTTGGAAGCACCATTTAACCGCAGGTGGCCCCCACCAGGAAACACTGAACTGAGTGCCCCACAGAACAGTGGCCAGGAAGAGATAAGAGGGGGAGGGCAGGGAGGTCCCAGGTTCCAGAAGGTCTAATTCTCAGACCACTGCAGGTGCTTTCCTCAGTGTGCTTTATGATTCCAGAAAGCAGCACCGGCTCTGTTCACTGGAATAGGGACGCATCCCCAAGTCACTGCGAGATTGGATCCCACCACAAGAGAGTTCGAAAGGGGCCAGGGTTGTTTGCAATGAGCAATAAATTGGCAGTTTTAAACATGACTATCGTGAGGTTTCTCTTTCCCTCAGACACTTAATTCACACTCTCTGAACAATGTTCTTTGAAATGAATGTAATTTACTGAATTATATCCCATAAACAATTAAATGATGGGTTACCACCGTTGATGGCAATTATTAAACCTCGGTCGCTCCAGCCAACAAAATAATGGTCAGACTGTCTCCACTTTAAAAACAGGTGTGTTCCCAAAGTTTGTAAGTCGGCAGCTTGGAATTCAGGAGTTATTTTCTCCCTTCACAATGTCCAAGGTGCACCATTTAACAGTAGGTCAGAGAAGACGGTCTGCAGGGAAAACCCCCCCTTGCTTCTGGAGAGCCCATCACGTGAGGTACTCTCTGGCCTGGGGACCCGAACGTGCTGCGCCAGGTAACTGGTACTGTGTGCTGGTGGCGGTCCCTCACCCTCTAGCAGAGCCACTGGAGGAGGAGGCCAAGGGGAGGACGAGGCAGGGCTCAGGAAACAGCAAAAGCCTCGAGGTGGGCAGGGCAGGTGCCTGGGCGAGGGGCTGCAATTGGTGCAGAGGTCAAGGCCACTGGCTTTCCTTCTGCTTGGCCTCTGGCCACCACATGATTCCTTCCCTGGCCCTGGGATGACGGGCCTCTGTGTTTCTAGGGTCTGTGCCGGGGTTTCCCACACTCCCCATGCCCCACCTGCCAAAGCCACGAACGTGGTCTCTCCTGATTTCCCAACATGAAAATACACATACGGCTCTTCAGTGGATTTCTCAGGATTTTTCTTGCCAGAACTCTGGACACAAGTGAAATGGGACACAGACGGACGGACAGACAGACATACACACACGCGCGCGCACACACACACACACGTGTAAACACTCATATGAGAAATGGCATGTGATATTAGCCAATTAAACTAGGATCCATCATGCATACATACACATGCACAATTATGGATATGTGTGTGCAGAAAGTCAGGAAAACACAAGTGACGAGGTCATTCACATCACCACATGAGCAATTCATACACAAATCTGAAAACTGGATTGCTCAGGACAAGAATGTGTCGTCGGAGCCAAACAGGCAGACCTTCTCCGGCCACCTCCTGTCTGAGACGTGGGAAAGACCTTCCCACCCAAGGCTGCCCACACCCTTGGGTTCACAAACACACCCTCTACTTACTGGAACCTCAAAGGCCTCCTGGGTGTCATCCAGCATCTGGATTTTGATGGACATGAGTTTTCCTGAAGGCGTCGGAGGAGGCTTCTGCCCATGTTCCAGGGTGCTGATCCCCGAATTCTCTGGTGCTCCCAGTCGTGAGCCTGGGGTGGGCTTCTGCTCTATTTCCCCCATGATGAAAGTAGCTTATAGAATATCTGCAGGAAGCAGTGAGAAAGAAAAATACATCAGGAGACTTTAGAATTACTTAAGTAACTCTTACCATCTTCTCCCCTTTATTATGGGAATTTCTCCAAATCACACCAGGGTGAGCATGCTCTCCACCTGTCCCCCCACACGGGGACCCGTGTGGCTGCCTTCAGTTCATTCACCAGCAATGTCACCTTTAGACACGCAAGGCATGAAAATATTTTTGCATATTTTAGTCATCTGCATATTTTTGCATGTTGCTGCATATTTTATTCTTTTCTTAGTCTCACAGTCAGCTCTTAATTATTCATGCCATAGACTCGGTTGTGTTCCACATTTTATTCAGTGTCTACAGTGAGCGAAGCACTGCTTTCTACGCGATAAGGCGGGTTGGGTAGAAGATAACAACCCCCAGGCCCTGTCGTTAGCCAGTTAATTACCTCGCATGGACACAGTAACATATTAAGTGGTGTGGGAATTATCGAGATAAATGGAGAAAACACACATTGTGGCAGCTTCTAATCCGAATGAAGGAATGATCACACCTCACATGGACACAGGCAGGGTCCTCGAGTTTCTATTACAATAGAAATATTTCAATTATTATATTACAGTAACTTTACGATTCACTTCTTCCTCATCACACAAAACAATTCTCTTCACTCCCTGCACAATCCACCCTTTGCCACGACACACCGCCCTCGGCCCTGCCAGCCACCGGGGTGCTGCTCCAGGCTTCACGTGGGCGCCTGTCCCTGGCTGACCGCTCTGCCTTCTTTCTCCACCTGGAAGCCTCTACCACTGCTTTACACCTCAGTTCAAATGTCACAACCTGGACCCTGGAGGCACAGCTCAAATGCCGTTGACCTCTCTGTGCTCTTGGCTCTGTCAAGGCCACCCAATGGTGGAGGGGTGTGCCCATTTACCTGCCCCCATGGCACTATGGGGACCCTAAAGGAGGTCCCAATCTTGCACACTCTTTGCATCTCAACCCACCGAAGCACAAAGCCCGGCAGAGGGGAACTCAGTGTGGGCTCCCTAAAGACCACACCATCAGCTGGCGCATTTGTACGACGGCTGCAGGTGAAGCATAGAAGGGACACCGAGGAAGGCGACCTCCGAGGAAGACGAGGGTTTCAGGGTGGGGGAGTCTTCCACTGAGGGGAGGCGGCTCTGAGCGCAGTTGTGTCTCAACAGTGGAGCAATCCTTGGACAGAGACAGGAGACACACAAGAGGGACAGCGCAGAGGAGGATTCGGGACAGAAGTGAGATGGCACATGGGCAGAAAAACGAGAGGCACACGTGGAAACAGGCTGAGCTCAGACCCTGAGGCCCGCGAGCGCCAGCCGAGATGTGCAGCCCGTACCCTGTAGGCACAGGACAACGCG